TGTAAGATACTACGTATGCTTACAAAAATTTATAAAATTCATATTTTAAAACATGAAAAAATAAAAGCTTTTTTTTTATAAACATTCGATCAAACTGTTATATGTTACATAGACAGGTCTATTTTCTCACAAATAAAAACAACTGCAGCTTTCTAAACCGACTTAGAGAAATAATATGTCCTATAGTTTACAATACAATTGGCTTGGGAGGAAGGAGGTGGTTGCTTTTCTAAATCTAGGTCAATACACTTCTTTGTATCGATGTTGTATATTTGATTTTGTTTATATGTTATTTACACTATTATAATAACAGTGCACTATAATTAGCGATTATTACCGTATTATATGAACGATTATACATATATATTTTACGTATTACGGAAGTNTTTTGGACCTGAAGATGGCCTGTTAATCAGGTTGAAAGCGTTTGTGTTTAAAATATATAATTCTCAGCAAAATTAAGGTGTTCTAATATATATGTGAGAACTTTCGACTGCTTTGAGTTTTTCCTTCATAATGTCGTCAATATCACTGGACATATCAATAACTCGGCGACTGATTGTGTCAACAGAAAGAGGGATTTTTGATATTTTACTAGCAGCTTTTGAACCCAGGACTATTTTCACTATCTCATTACAAGCAGGCATTAAATAACGTTTCCGCTATTTTATGTGGTTTTTTGGTCTTTACGATAAGTTCGACTAGGTTCTTGTACTTTGTCCGAAACACATACTATTGTAGGTCATGATGCTGCTTGTTTATTTTTTTTGTTTTGTTTTGTTCCAACAACCGACGAAAATAATTGACATCTTTGTTTGAAGAGAAGAATGTTTCGTTGACAAATATCGTTTCAATTTACTGGGAACCATAGCAGCATTAGTAAGTTTTTCACCACAAACAATACACTCGGGGATTGGGCATGTTTTATCACCACACCAAAAAAAAACCATAAAATAAATAATTATCATTATACTGCCGGCGTACTAATTTTTGTTTTTTTGGGGGTAGAGAGCTCAGTGCTTTCACTACTTGTGCTTGTACTGGTCGACGGAACACTCCGTAAACGGAATTTGTCCATCTTGAAAAAATTAAATAGTCTAATAATAATAGAAAAAAAAATGAGACTGACTAGCAATCACAATTTTCGGTCTACTTCAGAGCGCAGCTGAGATAGAACTGAAATATTTGCAAGAAGCGGGACCTATATTCTTCAAAGGGAAGTCTAACAATGGGTCGGTGAATCGGTATAGGAAGAAAGTAATAAAGTTGAGGAAGCACTAACAAACAGGGACAAGTACCAAAATAACGTAATAAAGTAATAAAGGGTAGGGCTAGTCCAGCAGTTTTGGGAAAATCACGTACACAGAACAATTGGCAAGGGTAACAAAACGCCTGTGAGCAAATTTATTTTATATTTTACGACTCGAAATCGGGAGTATACAATATATTATTAAGTAGTAGTGAATATTTTGTTAATGTAATTTTATGTTTAATGTTAACATTTTATTGTTTTTTATCTTCGATCGTTACGTATACAGTATTTAGTATAGTAATAATATAATTTATTGTCTGTTTTTTTGTATAACAGTAATTAATCTAAAACAATTACAGGAACATCTGAATTCAAACGGAATTCACAAGCAACAAAATTATTGCTTGATGAATACAAACAACATATTAAAGAATTTAGAAATCCAATACAAAAGTTAAGAAAAAAACGTTGTTTTATAGAAGACAATACATTTCATAGCAGTGGCTACACTACAATTACAGAAGGTATGTTAGACAAGATGAAGCAGGAATACTACGAAACATTTGAAGATATGTTCTCAGAGGACCGATCGATTAATTTAGGACACGCTGTTGAATCCTCCTGTCCTTTATTAGATCCAGCAGAATGTAATGCTAATTCATCAGAATCTGCCGTTTTAGGAGAATCTAATTAAAAAAATTACAACTTGAAAAGAAAGGCTAAAACAGCAAGAAATGTATATAATATTAAAAAACAGGTCTTCAAATCGAAGAAAGAAGAGTAGAGGAGCTTGCGCTGCTACGTAAAGCGATTGAAGAAAATAATCGAATACAGGGTGAAAGAAATAAGTTACTCGGAAGATTGTTAGAGAAATAGTAAATAAACATAATTAAATTGAACATGTGTGTTAAATTATCATTTTTATTTAAAATTAAACATACACAGTATACAAGTAATAAAATGCTTTTTTATTAGAAACAATAGAATTTTACATATTAATAAAAAAAAGACCAGGTTTTGTAAATATATTTAGTGATATTTACAAAATCTGCAAGCATATTTTTAACCGTGAAAAACCTTTGGAATTAAACCTTATTTACTGTTAAATTATTACAAAACGGATGCAACGTACGTGTGTTTTTTTTTTCTGCTCTAATCTGTGTAGTGGTTGGAAATGCATACCATCCTCTTCCATACTTCTTTCTTCCTCATTTTCATTCATATCACAGTTATTTTCCGTTATATTGCATTCCTTTTTTAAAATTAAAAAACTATGCAGAAAACAACGTGCAGCAATAAGTTTGTTTTTTAACACAAAGTCAACAATATCTAAATAGCTTCAATCGCCGAAATCATCCTGTTAGGAATCAAAATGCTCTTTCAACTATAGATCTAATAGATGCTAATTTTGCATTATAAATAGCCCGATAATCTATAAATAGCATTGCCGAGATGGCAATTATCTCGAAATGATGTCATTAAATTCATGCTTAGTGGATAATAATCATTTCAATTATTTACTGGCTGTTTACAAGGTATATGGCAACCATCTATGGAACAAATCATTTCTGGAAAGCCACGTGAACGTTTCTTTCGAAAATGTTCGGCAAATAGATCATCATGATATTGAGGGATAGTCACTTCGAAATAATACTCTTCGTTTCTTTTTCTCTTTCGTCTTTCTCCACATTTTAAATTATTTACAAGGAAATTACATTCCGTTATTGAATTTAAAAAATTTCCAATTGATGTCGTCAAATGCGAATGCAACTGCTAACTCAGTCGTCGAAAGTTATGCGAATTTTTTTTAAAACTCATCATTACGATCAAAAGTAGATTCCCGCTTCATCTCCATGAAGCGGTGATCTACTGTTTTGACACGGAAACAGTGAATTGCACTCAAAAAGTGAAGTAAATTCGAAAAGACCACGTCAATCAGTAGAAAATCAAGGTCATGTTGATAGTTTACTTGGATTGTCCTGCATCACGAACTTCTTCCGACTGGTCAAGCTGTCAACAAAGATTATTATTTGTGCTTTTTGTGTCATTTGAGTGAAGAAATTCGTAGAAAACGACCCTATTTGAGGCGAGAAAACTCACGGATTTTCCGCTACGATAATGCACCTGCTCATAATGCTGTTGTTGGTGCAATTTTTACCAAAAATTCAACAAATACGGTTCCGCAAGCTCCGTATTCACCTGACGTGATACTGTGTGATTTTTTCTGTTTTCTCCACTAAAATTTCCTCTTCGTATTCACCGTTTTGAGTCGATTGATACCATAAAACAAAATTCGATGCCAGTCCCGAAGTGGTTTCACGAAAACGAATTTAAAGTATGTTTCCAGGATTGGAGTAAACGTTGGCATAAGTGCATTGCGATGAAAGGGGATTACTTTGAAGGAGACGAAGTAAATGTTGATGAATAAATCGAAAACTTGGGTTTTATTAAACCATTCCCGCTACTTTTTGATCATAGGGATATATTGATACTTTTACAGATAGCCAATATTCTTGCAACATCAGTATTAAATGAAAACGCTATTTGCAATACCTTTTTAGCCTCTTTATAATTTTTTTAATATTTAAAACATTGAAAAACTATACTTTAAAGGAATACGAGCATTGCGAATAATAATAACGTAAAACTTTTAAAATAATTTTAAATATAAAATTAATTATATAACCACAAAATATTCATAAATACCGAGGAGAAACAGTAGGAGAAGTGGATCTTCCGAAAGATTTGAAGAAAATAAAACAGAAATAGTTCGAATCGAAGATACATCGGAGCCAATATGAGAAAAAGTGTAACTCGTGGGTTTATATATTAAGCTTCGTTTAATAAAATATCTGAAAAAATGGAGGATATTGGAGTCTTCTTATCAAAATATGTTACTTTCGATGGCAAAGCTTGAAGAAAATAATATTGAAAAGTAGGTTGACTAAGTTTTCAAGTGCCGTAGAGGAACCAATTCCAAGTAATATTTCGAGAGCCAAAGGCCGTGTTCAGCAGGCAACTGAACAAATCGGTAGCTGTTATCTAGCAACCTGCTGAACGTTGAGTGACGTTTGCGTTGAAACAGGAAGTTGGTTGCTGTAGCTTCCGCTTCACGTGTTCTAGAGAAAGCATTTCCTCGGTCACTGGAATACGTTGTTGTTTTTGGATAAAATTCTACGTTTTCGGGACGACTCGTAAAGCAACTCGCCGCAAGCCCAAACGATCTTTTAAAATTGCTCGACAAGATCCAAACGATACGTTCAATAATGTTCTTAATTATTAAACGACGATCATCGAGCACCAAATCCCTGACTCGAGCGACACTTTCATCAGTTACTTCAACTGAAGAACGTGATGAACGGATGGTCTATCAGAGCCTGGTTCGTGTTCGACCTTCTTCTAACATCTTTTACCATTGGAAACTCTTGTTATTGGTAAAATGTCCTTACCAGAGTGTTTTGGCAAACATCCAGCGTTTCCCGGCGCAAAAGTTCTTTGTATAAAAACGAGCGTTAATTTTCAGGGGAAAACGGACGATGACGTACAGAATGTTACCGAACGACGAAAATACGACGACGGTTCCTTTTCACGCGCACAGTTTAAATTAACCATTCCTATACTTTTCAATCACAGTAGTTTATTAACTGCTGTAGATAATATTATTTTACTTTATCTCAACTCATTTCCTTTATTAAAATAATTATAATTTCATGATTTTTTTCTTTACTCATCCCCCTACATTGTGTTTTATGGTATTTTCTTATATCATTCCTATTCCTAAACCGAGACACATGGTTTAATAACGAACTCCCAAAAGACTTGGACTCGACTATTTTTATTTACTGATTTATTTTGTAATACTTAAAATACGGGCTTATAAACTTATAAACGAAATTAGATTTTGTACATAATGTCACGACCGATGACGTTTCACGAACGTCACACATTGTGACGACACACGACAATGTTAATTTGTCTATTGTTGATTAATTTGTTGGATTCGCAAACTTCGGGGAGTCTTTTCCGGACATCTTCAATTATCTTCGACAGATTTACTTAAACACTGAAAAGTAGAGGATAAAAATGAAGATAAAAGGTTAAATTTATAATTTATGTATTTATAACACGATTAAACATTAAGAAATTCCGAAAAGAAATTTTAAAATTCCGGATTCTAAATTCTAATTTCAAATTACCATTTAAGAAAAGTTATTAATGCTTTATTATTAAATTTTATTAATATATACGATGGATTTAATTAAATTTTATTATATTAATGAAAGAATTTTAGAAATTGATAAATTATATTATTCGAAGATTTCAAACAATTCCAAGATGGCGGCCCGAGTTNACCGACTTAGAGAAATAATATGTCCTATAGTTTACAATACAATTGGCTTGGGAGGAAGGAGGTGGTTGCTTTTCTAAATCTAGGTCAATACACTTCTTTGTATCGATGTTGTATATTTGATTTTGTTTATATGTTATTTACACTATTATAATAACAGTGCACTATAATTAGCGATTATTACCGTATTATATGAACGATTATACATATATATTTTACGTATTACGGAAGTACTTTGTTTTTTTTTAGAAAGACTTATGGCTGGATGGTTCTGAAAAAATGCTTATAAACGTTAAACAGGATGAATATACGTATAAATTTACTAAACTCGGGTAAAAGTAAATGAGAATAATGACTGTTTGTATACGTTTGTAGCTGACAAAGTATCTCCCAGAAGGCGTGGCTTTTTGCATGAAAATTTCCACCCCACAAACCTAGTCGATGCTTATTCGTTTAGTCATTTAGCTATAATATACCAATTACAGCTCAACAGGCACGTGAACGAAAGTTTGATCGTCCAATAAACAAAAGATGGGTCTACCATAGACATAACATGGGAAGGAAGAGTTTTATACAAACTGTAATCAAGTCTGTAGCGATGTAAACTCGGATTCTCTGTCTTGTGTGTCTGTTGACTGTCTGAACCAATAAATGTTTTGTCACCACCCCCGAGCCATAAATATTTCGGGAAAGACAGTCCCCCCCCATTGTAAGGCAATTATAGGTAAGGAGTAAGATTATTGATTGATAAAATCGATAGTCAACTTCTTCTAAACTGCAGTTTGATAATTTTTGTCTCTGTTTGTATTAGATCAACGAATCTGCCACCTGTAAAAACAGTGGAGCTAAAATTCCTGCTAAATTCCATCCCTCTCGGGCTACGATGTTTGAAATATGTAAACAATCACTATAAAATCATTTGTTTTAATTTTTTTTAGCTCTAATTAGCTAATTTATTGTTCTTCGACAGTATTTAGGCGAGTAAACATTATTTTAGAACTGTCAAGTTATAAATGTTTCAGGAAAGTAAATCTTTCCCCTTGCTGTTATGTAATACGAGAAAATATGTAAATAATCGCATGAAAATTTGCGTAGTATAGTCGAGTATTGTAAAAATCGTCGAAATAATATAAAATTAATGTTTATTATACATTATCTGCAGAAAAACTTGTCCTAACTTTCACCCTCAGATAACTCATCCTCTCCCCTCCCAAAAGAGTAATTAGTGAAGTAGTGTAATAATAGCCATAACTTCTCACTTGCTCTAGCTAGAAGGCTGCTGTTTATTTTGTTTTCTCTATGTGACTAATCTGTTGACTAATAAATCTATGAAAATTTAGAGATTTTCTATAAATAAATTAGTTTTTTTGGGGTTTTTTTTCGTAAATTTGAAATTTTATTATAATTTTAAATTCGCGATAAACTTAAAACTAAACAAAAGTAAACTGTAATATGACTTTGCTTGAAAACGAAAAACAGATTGAATGTAGCGCGAATTTGAAGCGAGATATTACAATTGAAACGATAGTTGCATCTGTAAAAGTGGTTTTGATAAAAGAATGCAGAGTTTTTATTTTGTATATTTTTCATTTGCTTATTATCAGAGAAAAATTTTAACTATCTTACATTGCTTGAGCCACACTACCCCTGGGAGTTGGTGATGAGAGAAATAGTAAATTGTAAACAAGGAATTTCACACCTCAAGGCTACAGAGGAGTGCAATTTGTTTTGTACAGAATAAAATATGTTACTTTACATTATAAACTCTGCAAATAAAACCGATCATTTTATTTTTATTTAACGCTTTTTTCGAATATGAAACATGTAAATATTATTGTAAATTTGTGTTGTATAGCTATAATTAGATTAAATGTGTTTAGATAAAAATAAAATAAATTACTAACTGCAACAAAATATTCCACAATCTGTATAGAAGAATCGATATAGAAAGGGGAAAAAATGAGGCTAGATGAGCGTGCTATTTCATGTTTTCGTCTACGACTTGATAATTGCAAGCAGCAGGTGTTCCAAAGTTCTTTTATTATAAAAGCTTTTATATGTATATTTTTATACGAATACAAAAAAATTTCTTATATTACAATATTACTTACGTATTCTATAATAGTTTGTAGTTTTATTATATGCATCTNTCGTTATCTGGACTCACCTCTGACCCGTCGGACCGCATTACATCTTGTATTTGTAATATAAAGAAAATAATATTTTTAGTGTGACGTCACGACGACGTTTCTCGGATGTTTTAGCGTTTTTGGAACGTTTACGCGCTCTTCCCGGAATATTTCCGGTTATTTTTGATTTATTTTTCAATTATAACTTGTTACTTTCATTAATCAGCCACTGCCTTGAAATCTTCTACATTGCGCGTGATCAACCCAAACATCCTCTTCCAATCCTCTCTCATTGCCCCAACTGTTCTTCCGCTCCAGGTAAGTCTGGGTCATTACCTCTCGCATTATCCACATATTAATCTAATTTGTGTATTTATCGATGATATGAAAACATTATGTACGGGAATTTCTAATATATTTATCTTTATTGGTCTCTGGCTTTGTTCTTTACCTTAGGCATGTGTGGAGATGCTTCTGCTTCTTTGCTCCAATGATTCTTTAATGACGCTATTGTATAAACTGGATATTCCGTGTTTAACGGACTAAACGGGTTCTAATTAATAATAAATTATATTATTCGAAGATTTCAAACAATTCCAAGATGGCGGCCCGAGTTACCGTTTCGAATATCGAGGAATTTTATAATAAAATCGGTTTAGATTTGAAATATTACAGTAAAATATTGGTTTAAATACAGCAAAACGTTTTCTATTTTATGTTTCGATTACTATATAATAGATCTACGACTGGGATGATAAGAGGTAAAGATTGGTAAGCCTAGTTTTAAATAGTTTTTACCCAAGAAGGCTGGAATACCGATCCCAGAAAATAGCCAAAAGAGGTTCACGTGACACATTTGACGTCATACCACATTAGGTGGATTTATTTGTGCTTTTTGTGTCATTTGAGTGAAGAAATTCGTAGAAAACGACCCTATTTGAGGCGAGAAAACTCACGGATTTTCCGCTACGATAATGCACCTGCTCATAATTCTGTTGTTGGTGCAATTTTTACCAAAAATTCAACAAATACGGTTCCGCAAGCTCCGTATTCACCTGACGTGATACTGTGTGATTTTTTCTGTTTTCTCCACTAAAATTTCCTCTTCGTATTCACCGTTTTGAGTCGATTGATACCATAAAACAAAATTCGATGCCAGTCCCGAAGTGGTTTCACGAAAACGAATTTAAAGTATGTTTCCAGGATTGGAGTAAACGTTGGCATAAGTGCATTGCGATGAAAGGGGATTACTTTGAAGGAGACGAAGTAAATGTTGATGAATAAATCGAAAACTTGGGTTTTATTAAACCATTCCCGCTACTTTTTGATCATAGGGATATATTGATACTTTTACAGATAGCCAATATTCTTGCAACATCAGTATTAAATGAAAACGCTATTTGCAATACCTTTTTAGCCTCTTTATAATTTTTTTAATATTTAAAACATTGAAAAACTATACTTTAAAGGAATACGAGCATTGCGAATAATAATAACGTAAAACTTTTAAAATAATTTTAAATATAAAATTAATTATATAACCACAAAATATTCATAAATACCGAGGAGAAACAGTAGGAGAAGTGGATCTTCCGAAAGATTTGAAGAAAATAAAACAGAAATAGTTCGAATCGAAGATACATCGGAGCCAATATGAGGAAAAGTGTAACTCGTGGGTTTATATATTAAGCTTCGTTTAATAAAATATCTGAAAAAATGGAGGATATTGGAGTCTTCTTATCAAAATATGTTACTTTCGATGGCAAAGCTTGAAGAAAATAATATTGAAAAGTAGGTTGACTAAGTTTTCAAGTGCCGTAGAGGAACCAATTCCAAGTAATATTTCGAGAGCCAAAGGCCGTGTTCAGCAGGCAACTGAACAAATCGGTAGCTGTTATCTAGCAACCTGCTGAACGTTGAGTGACGTTTGCGTTGAAACAGGAAGTTGGTTGCTGTAGCTTCCGCTTCACGTGTTCTAGAGAAAGCATTTCCTCGGTCACTGGAATACGTTGTTGTTTTTGGATAAAATTCTACGTTTTCGGGACGACTCGTAAAGCAACTCGCCGCAAGCCCAAACGATCTTTTAAAATTGCTCGACAAGATCCAAACGATACGTTCAATAATGTTCTTAATTATTAAACGACGATCATCGAGCACCAAATCCCTGACTCGAGCGACACTTTCATCAGTTACTTCAACTGAAGAACGTGATGAACGGATGGTCTATCAGAGCCTGGTTCGTGTTCGACCTTCTTCTAACATCTTTTACCATTGGAAACTCTTGTTATTGGTAAAATGTCCTTACCAGAGTGTTTTGGCAAACATCCAGCGTTTCCCGGCGCAAAAGTTCTTTGTATAAAAACGAGCGTTAATTTTCAGGGGAAAACGGACGATGACGTACAGAATGTTACCGAACGACGAAAATACGACGACGGTTCCTTTTCACGCGCACAGTTTAAATTAACCATTCCTATACTTTTCAATCACAGTAGTTTATTAACTGCTGTAGATAATATTATTTTACTTTATCTCAACTCATTTCCTTTATTAAAATAATTATAATTTCATGATTTTTTTCTTTACTCATCCCCCTACATTGTGTTTTATGGTATTTTCTTATATCATTCCTATTCCTAAACCGAGACACATGGTTTAATAACGAACTCCCAAAAGACTTGGACTCGACTATTTTTATTTACTGATTTATTTTGTAATACTTAAAATACGGGCTTATAAACTTATAAACGAAATTAGATTTTGTACATAATGTCACGACCGATGACGTTTCACGAACGTCACACATTGTGACGACACACGACAATGTTAATTTGTCTATTGTTGATTAATTTGTTGGATTCGCAAACTTCGGGGAGTCTTTTCCGGACATCTTCAATTATCTTCGACAGATTTACTTAAACACTGAAAAGTAGAGGATAAAAATGAAGATAAAAGGTTAAATTTATAATTTATGTATTTATAACACGATTAAACATTAAGAAATTCCGAAAAGAAATTTTAAAATTCCGGATTCTAAATTCTAATTTCAAATTACCATTTAAGAAAAGTTATTAATGCTTTATTATTAAATTTTATTAATATATATGATGGGTTTAATTAAATTTTATTATATTAATAAAGGATTTTTAGTAATTGATAAATTGTTCCATTCAAAGATGATAACTTTTCGAATTAAAGATTGGTAGATTCCAAGATGGCGGCGCAAGTTACCGTTTCGAATATCGAGGAATTTTATAATAAAATCGGTTTAGATTTGAAATATTACAGTAAAATATTGGTTTAAATACAGCAAAACGTTTTCTATTTTATGTTTCGATTACTATATAATAGATCTACGACTGGGATGATAAGAGGTAAAGATTGGTAAGCCTAGTTTTAAATAGTTTTTACCCAAGAAGGCTGGAATACCGATCCCAGAAAATAGCCAAAAGAGGTTCACGTGACACATTTGACGTCATACCACATTAGGTGGATGTAAGGCGCTAGATAACCCAGGTATGCTCATCCGCCATGTTGGTCCTTAGAAAGCTGACGACTCTCGTAGAAGTTCAATAGAAGAGACACGAAAATAATCATAAATTCAACTGTATCTTAAGATTTTGCAAGGTCGAAATGATAAACTTTGCCAAAATTTAGTTCAACTAGTTATAAAATACAGCTAAATTTAAAAATCTTGGAATATGACGTCAAAAGGACCAATATGGCTGCACACGTGACGGAAGCGTATGAGCATACCTGGGTAATCTAGCGCCTTAGGT